AAAGGGCATTTATAGAGGTCTAGATAAAGACATGTACATATGCAAATATATTTATATGAGGATAGGGAAATAGATCTATGTGCCTATATTTATAGGTTTAGTATTAAGGTAGCAGAAAGACATTGGGCCTCCACTCAAGTACTCCCTCAATGCAAGAATACTTTCTTCTATTAAATTGGCATGCTATGATGCTCACCTTCCCGACACAACTGCTGAAGACAAAGCGGGTGAATAAGCAAATGTGAAGAAAACTGATGGTGCCCAGCTATCATAGCGTCTAGGGTCTTAAAGGCTTGAAGGTAAATAAGCGGCCATCTAGCTCAGAAGCAACAAAGCCCACATGGAAGAACGTATCAGCCTGTGTGATCATGAGGTGCCAAAGGGACCAGTTATCAGGCGTCAAAGAACAAAAAATCATATCATTGTGTGCCCACCTCCATGATATGATCGCTGAAGACAAATGGGTGCATAAGCAAATGTGGCGACGAAAGCTGATGGTGCCCGGCTATCAAAAGGTATGGCATCTGGGGTCTTAAAGGCTTGAAGGTAAATAAGTGGCCATCTAGCTCAGAAGCAACAAAGCCCACATGGAAGAAGCACACCAGCCTGTGCGATTACGAGGTGTCGAAGGGATCAGGTATAAGACATCATCAGAACAAAAAATCTTACCATAGTGAATGATGGGGGAGTGCGGAGTGGAGACCCAAACCCCATTTGTAGGCCACTGGAGATCCCCTTGCAGAGGGGTCTCAGGGAAGAGATGAACCAGTCAGGGTGCGATGTAAAGAACAACTTTGTTCTAGTTCCTAAATGCCTCCTCCTCCCCAACTATCATGATGATCCCAATTCTACCTTACAAATCTGGCTAGACCAGAGGATGTACATTGGTACAGATAGGAACTGGAAACACAGGGAATCCAGGGCGGATGATCCCTTCAGGACCAGTGGTAGGAGTGGCGATACTGGGAAGGTAGAGGGAGAGTGGGTTGGAAAGAGGGAACCGATTACAAGGATCTACATGTGACCTCCTCCCTGGGGGACGGACAATAGAAAAGTGGGTGAAGGGAGACGTCGGACAGGGCAAGATATGACAAAATAATAATTTATAAATTATCAAGGGCTCATGAAGGAGGGGGGAGCAGGGAGGGAGGGGAAAAATGAGGACCTGATGCCGGGGGCTTAAGTGGAGAGGAAATATTTTGAGAATGATGAGGGCAATGAATGTACAAATGTGCTTTACACAATTGATATATGTATGGATTATGGTAAGAGTTGTATGACCCCCTAATAAAACTATTTTTAAAACAAAGAGCTTTACACACACGAGCAATTGAATATTGAGAAAACATCACATCCCAGTCCAGATCAAGTCCACAAGTCTAATATTAGCCCATATGTCCAATACCAATCTATAAAGTCCTCTTCAAACTCATAAAACACATGCAATGATGCTGAATGCAGGAAGATCACAGGCCACTGGATCGGAGGGTCTTGTGGATCCAGTGGTGGTGTGAGCATCTCAATGCTGGCAGGGGTCTCCATGTAGCTCCCTGTATCTTGTCAACAAGTATGTGTCGCAGGGAGTGAACTTGCGTCCCACCTCCAGCGAGCTATTTATCTCCTTAGCGCCTCCAAATGAGGTCATCAAGCTGTTACTTGATTGACAGGCCAAACTCCACCCCTTCACTCCTAAGTCTCAAATTGACAACAGATTATGTAACTACCATAAGCCCAAAGGCCTCCAAGGGACCAACCAAGTAGCATAAATTGGTGCAGTGTGCCTGCCGGGGACTGTGGTGGCCGAGAGAGCAACAACCAAACTACAACCAAATTGTTTCAGCTGGGTTACCTTGCAGGAAAGTGGGCCCAGTGTTACCAGAACTCAGAATTCTCTGATGTTAATATAAAAGAAATTTAAAGGAAATCGAAGGAGGAAGGAGCCCTCATAGCATAGTGGGCTGTGTTGGGCTGCTAACCACTAAGTCAGCAGTTCAAACCCATCAGCCACTCCTTGGGAGGAAGCTGAGGCTTTCTGCTCCTGTAAAGATGAACTCAGAAACCCAAGAGGGGTCATTCTGAGTCAGAGTTGACTTGATGTCAGGTGAGTTTGGGTTTCTGTGTTAGAGGAATTCAGGTGGTATAGTAGTTAAATGCTAGGCTGCTCATCAACAGTCCGTGGTTCCAACCCACCCAGTGGATTTGCTAAAGACCTGGCAATCCTAACAAATTAGGAAAACCTATGGGGCTGTCAGTCCCACAGTGTCGTCAGCTGTCCCTATCTGAGTGAGAATCCACTGAACAGCACATAACAACAAACAATAACTAAAAATCTGTGTGTTCCTGTGAAGTCATCTCATGTTTAAATGTTAACAGCTGATTAAATGAAGAAGTAGCAGGGCAGATGCAACACGTCTAGGAATCAGAGTCATCTCTTGACTCACCCGTGTGAAGCCCATGCTATAGAATAAACTGGAGAAATCAAATCAAAGTCCCAACCAAAGAGGCATTCAGACAAAAAGTTAAGCATCAGGGAGGCGTGACAGAAGATACCGGGGATGCACTGATCAGCAAAATAACCACAGCACAGGAGCCTAGAAATGGGCAGTAGGAGGTGTGAGTGTCAAAGATCTTGTAATAATAGCCTACTGGTGGCATAGTGGTGAAGCATTGGGCTGCTAACCACAAGATCAGCAGTTCAAAACCACCAACTGCTCTGAGCAAGAACGATGAAGCTTTCTACTCCCATTAAGAATTACAGCCTTGCTTGATGTGATTGAACTATGGATTGTTATGATATCTGTAAGAGCTCCCAATAAAATGATTTAAAAATTTAAAATATATGAGGGGGGTACACC